AAATTTAGATGAAAAGATAAATGATATTTAGCTTAAGTAAACATAAAAAAAAAGTAGCAAATGAGGGGTCATTAAAAAATTTATAAAAAAATAGAAACAAACTAAAAAACTTAATGGTGAATTGAAGAGGTTCAAAATATAATCAAATTAAAACAAATGTATTACAAAAGTTGAAAAAAAATAAAAAATGCGAAAAAATGAAAGAAGTAAAAAAACCATAAGGAAAAAGTTAAAAAGAAAATGGATGAACCTAAATGTATGACTTATGATGAACTAATGGGAGGAAATAGTTAGTAATGCTAATAGTGTTAAAAATAATATGTGCCTTTATAAAATTAAACCTACTAAAATAAAATATGCACTAAATAAGATGAAATAAATGAAAGGCGTAATATCTTATGAGATTTTAATAGAAGTGTAGAAAGGCGTGGAAGAAATAACATTATTATATATAGCTAATTAACCATTTAATAAGATAATAAAAAATGGATGCCTGATAATTGAATAAATAGTAGCATATGGTTATATTTAAGAACAAATGAGATATACAAATTTATAATAACTATCGAGGGATTAAATTTATAAGCCACATTATGAAACTTTGAAAGAGAATAATTGAACAAAGATTATGATTTAAAAAAAGTATGTAAAAAATTAATTTAACTTTATGATAAGATTATCAACCATGAAAGTTCAAAATGAAGAAAAAAGATCTTCATATGGTATATAGTGATAGAAAAAAGGCTTATAATATAATTCTTAGAGAGATAATATAATGGGTCTTGAAAAATAAAGTTCAAAATAGGTATATAAACTTAACTAGAAATATGTATGAAGGGGCAACAACCAATATTAGAAAACTAGTAAAAGAAACTTCCGATTTTATAGTTATGATAGATTTTCACTAAGGTTAAATATTTATCCTTTATCTATTTCCATTAATTATAAATAAATGCTAAGATAGATGAGTGAAAAAACTAAAAATGATAGGATAAGAAATAAAACTATTTTGTATAAACTTAGGAATAACTCTAATAAGTGAAAAAATGAAAGAGAATAGGATAAGATAATTTGGTCACGTACATAAGATCACCAACAATTCCAATTAGAAAAATTTACAAGTGGAATGGGCTAAAAGTGCTAGGGGTAAACCAAAAAGAACATGGGTAGAAGTAATAAGAAATTATTTAATCACTAATAATTTAATAGTGGATTTGGTTTTAAATAGAACGAATTGGTGAAAAAAATTCATATAATCAACCCATATAGTTGGGTTATGGTATGGATGATGATGATTTTTTGTTGTTTAATATTTTTTACTTTTAACATTAATAAAAAAATAGCTAAATATTAAATTCTTAAATGTTTAATAAATAATATTTTATTTTTGTTAACAATTATTATAAAATATAAATTAAAATATCAATTTTATATTATAAAATATATAAAATATCAAATTTTTTAAAGGAAAATATCTAATCTATACTACATTAAAAAGCATGAATAGCCTCAAGAATATTCTAAAAATTTTCTAAGGACAAAATTTACCCCTCCATATTTAAATTTATTAATAAAAATGAGGGCAAATAGGGTAATTAGTTTTTGATATTAAATGAATTGAAAAGAGATAATTTTAAGATATTCAAGGCATTTAATTATCTCTCACTAAATCCAACGTTTAAGTTATTAACTTTGTTTCATCTTCACTGAATCTTATATTTAAGGCATTTTTGTTTCTTCTCATCATTAAATTTTATTAATAAATACATACATAATAAATTAATAATTCCATTAACATAAAAACTTATACTTTTAAAATCTGCTTGGAAAAAATAGTGTTTTCATCTAATTGGTGGTAAAAAATTTGACCATTATGGGTCAAATAGGCCATTCCATATTGCAACAATTACATAATAAAAATAAAAAAATAAATAAAATGTAAAATAATTTATATAGAACTTAAAAGAAATTTAGAGCATTTCTAACATCATATATTCAACATATTAACAATAATAACTATGATAAATAAGAAATGGTTTTATTAATGATGGAAATGAAATGTAAAATTTAAAACCAATTGAAAATAAAACTATTTTCCTTTTCTCTCATTAAAACCTATATTTAAAATATATTTTTCTCTTCATTAAATTCTACTAATTAAATCAACAATATTAATTTTAGTAGTATAAAAATAAATATTTTGAAAAGTAATTTGAAAACAAAACCATTTTCTACCCTCTCGTTGGTGGGTAAGCAATTCAACCTTTGGGGTTAAATGGGTTAACAAATAATACCATAATTAAATAATAAAAAATAAAAATAAATAAAATATATAATACAAAAAAATTAGGGATATCTCTAATATTGTATATTCATTATACTAAACAAAAATAAGTATTATGTAAGAAGTATTTTCATTAATGATGAAAATAGAATGCCAATTTTAAAATCAACTTAGAAATAATAAAATTTTAAAAAATAAAAAATACAATGACTCACAAATAGAGAAAATTTGGGCACATATCTAATGTTATATGTATATATATACACACTAAAACACAACAGTCTATAAATTTTTTCCTTTTTTTTATTTTTTATTCCATGTCATTTTTTAAATAACTAGTGAGATGCTCTCCTCCCCCATAAAAATTAACTAAAATCTCTCTCTCTCTCACACACATTCCCAATAACTTAAATAATATCATCTCCTAAAATTTCTCATAAACTATCTCTCAAACTTTCTCATAAGTTATCTCTAATTCCTATTTATCTCCTAAATTATATCTAATTTAGTAGAGAGTTTCGCTCCGGAATTATCTCTTATTCCAATTTATCCTTTTCCCCCACTTTTTATCTATATTTATCTAAACAATGTTTGAAGTAAAAAAAATTTAAAAATTATTTAAATATTCTATCAAAATTATATAATAACTTTAAAATATTTATTAAAAACACAAAAATAGTTATAATAGATTTAATAATATTCATAATATTAATAATTTTATATTTTTAAAAAATTCATCACAAAATTATGTACTAAAAACATAAATTATGACTTTTCAGATTGTTCAATTTAAATGTTATTCAAATAATAAAAATTTAACATTAAAAAATAAAATATTATTTAAATATTTCAATAACTAAATATCTTAAATAAAAATATTAAAATATCTAAATAATAATATAACCACGTATTTAATATTATATAATAATTTTGAAATAAATAAAATTCAAATAATTTTTTTAAATATATAAAATTCAAATAATTTTTTTAAATATATATATTATTTAAATATTTAAATTACTAAATATTTTAAATAATGAAATACTTAACATAAGTAGATTTTAAATAGTTAAAATAATGAAATTATGTCATAATAATATAAATTATAATTTTATGGATTATTAAATTCAATAAATAATTAATATTTTAAAATTAAAATAATGATATTATTTAAATAACTAAATAGTTTTCTGAAAAATAATATTTATTGATAATAATTTTAAAATCTTAATCTATATTTATTATATACTTATATACTAAAGTTAATTATGTATTTGTTGTTTTTTGTTATAAATATATTTTCAATAATTATGTATAAATCTTTTTTATGTTTGTTATTTAGCATAAAACTTTCAATAATTATTGGAGATTAAACTATTGTTATTTAATGTTTTAAGTTCAACTTATTGTACTTATTGTATTTTTTTATAATTTATTGATTAATATTTATTAGAGATTAAACTATGATTTGAGATTACACTATTTACTGACTAATTTAATATATTTTTTAGTATTTACTGTATTTTTATAATTATTATATTTATTGTATTTTTATTATTTATTTATTATATTTTTATTATTAATATATTCTCAATGTATTTTTGTTATAAATTTGCAAGAATTATTGGAGATTAAACTATTGTTATTTATTAGAGATTAGACTATTAATTTTATTGAAATTAAGAGTGTTTATGGTTTTGTTCAGTTTGGTTGTAAGCATTTTGGCTAACGATATCGACCTGGTTAGGTTGGGGAGTTGGTCACCTGAAAACCAATAGATCATTAGTGAAAACCAGCCAATTCAAGTTATATCAAATTGGTTATTTGGTTAGTTGGTTTCAAAGATTTAAACTTAAAAAATTAAATTTAATTTTTTTTTATAAAAAATACAGTGGCATTATTAAAAAATAAAAAATTAAATCTATGATATAGAATATTTTAGACTAAGGAACATGGGAAATTTTTCACTTTTGTGTATTAAAAATATTGCTAAAACGAAATTGATCCAACCTGGTTGGGTTGGGAAATTGTTGAACAACCTTAGATGAAATTAATTAGTGTTATTTTTGTATTATAAAAAAATTATTACAAGTAGTGCGTAAAATATAAATAATTATTAATTATTTAAAAAGTTAAAATTAAAATATTGGGTACATCTTTAATATTATACATTTATTATATTGAACCAAAATAAGTATTATATATAAAAATGATTTTATCAATGATGGAAATGTAATACAAAATTTAATATCAACCTAAAAATCAAATTATTTTCCCTTTTGAGTGGTGGGTTAGTGGTTTGGGTCAAATGTTATCATAGTCAAACAAAAATTAAGTGTGATAAGTAAAAATTATTTATATAATACAAATAAAATATATAGTTTAAAATTGATTGGGAAGAAAAACTATTTTCTTATCTAGATAGTGTTTCAATGATTCAACTTTTTAAAGAAACCCATTATGTGATAATTAAATAATAAATATTTAGAAAAGATAGAACACAAAAATGAAAAAATACAAAATTTTATCGAAAATATTTAAAAACATTTCTAATGTTATATACTCATCGTAATAAAAATAGAATGTAATAATAATAATAATAATTAAATTATTATTATTATTATTTATTTTTAATCATATTATTATTGGTTATTATTTTAGTTAAACATATACATTAATACCCATGGTGCACAATGAGGCAAGTTAGCTTCTTCGAAATACGTATTTTACTTACACTGCAATAAGCACTGTTACAGCAATGTCTCTCTCCTTTCTCCCTCCGATCCATCTCCATTTCTGATACGAACAAGAATCCAAAACCCACGGAAATCGAGGAAACAAGAACAAGAATCTTCGAAAGAAACTCCAAAAACTTCACTGTTCTATGCATTGCTCTCTCTCAATAACCCTAAGTTATCTGCCTTTCCGCCTCTTCAACCTCTTTTCTGAAACTCTTCGACGAACCATCGTTGTCAATGGCGGCCTCGGGCCACCGGAAAGTAGTTTCCCGCCGGGATAATCGAGGGTCCCGCCGGTCTTGGTGTTGTTCCTTCGGTATTCCTCCCGAGAGCCCCGAAAATCTGAGCTGTGCCCGCTCCAAAACGACTCAGAAATCTGAGATCCTTTCGAAATCTGGTAATTCTTTTCCGAGTTCTCCTCTGAGCAGCAGAACTGGGTTAGTGATAGTCGGGCTCATCGATCGTCGGCGTATCTTGTCCCCCGGACGGGTTTCTCCGATTGACTCGGACGCTGCGCCCGATCCTGTTCGGGATATTGTACCGGACACTTCGTCTGTTAACGATGGTGGAGCTCCATTGGAATCGGAGACTTTCCATTCGACTGAAGAGAAGTTGCTAACACCGGAGGGACCGGAAATTTATCAGGCACCTTCCCTTAATCGTTCTTTGAGTACTGCGACGAGAGAACAGAGCTGTTCTCCGGTATTTGATGTAAGACTGAGCTTGAAGGGCAAGAACGAGGGCTGTTTGGTCTTGGAATTGGACTCCGAGGTGTTATCTGCGAATAGCTCCGTCTTTGCAGATTTGATCTCAGATTGTCGAAGGAATTCGGGCGGCGGTTCGGCTGCAAAACTCTGCAGGATTGAGGTTCCTGATGTTGAGAACTTGAGTGTCTATCGTGAGACAATTGAGCTCATGTTTCTGGAAGATATCACGAGGCGTCTGTTAAAGATGGGGGTCTCCCGTGCGATTGATGTGCTCGAGGTGAGTGTTTTAGAATCTTTTCTCGGTTTTCTGAATTCTGTAGATCTGTACTTCTGCAAGGATAGACCATGCACTTCGTTCGATTCTGTAGAAGTAGAACTGCTATCAGTTTCTATTGAACTTTGAATTTGCCCATTTGACCCAGCCACTTGTTTTGATATGGGTTGATTTCTATTGCTTTACATAAGGAAGAACAAGATGGGTTTATGTACTAAGAAATAGGTTCTAGATTGCTTTCAGAAAAAGCAGGGAGGGGGGGTGCAATGCATTTTCATGAGAACTTAGTTGTCGACTTGGGAAATTTCTTACTTGGCAAAAAAGCTTTTGAATGGATCTGGTTTGGTAATTGACTGTGTTTGGAATGAGAAAATGTACTCATGATACTTCAACATGGATTAATGATAGTAATCTTTAGCCTTTGATGATCGAACTGACTGTTTTAAAAGTTACAATAGCACTACAAGCATCACCCAGAACTTTGCTGTCTCCTGTACCATGATTATCCTTATCTGCCCATGTTTTTAGGTCTCAGCTCAAATCATTATAGAGTTAGTGCTCTGGTGGGACAAAATGGCTTTACCCGTACTGATAGTATTTCTCCATCTGCAAGCTTTCCCCGCCTGCTATTATAGCATCCTTTATCAGATCAGGCATTTCTTTTAAAGCTCTGAAGTAATGACAATATGATCTCTCTATATTGTAGGAATTATGGATTCTACTGCATACATTAGATTAATGTTACAATTGTTTCAATGTCAGGAAAGCTGTCTCATTAAAGATTAACTTGTATATTGATTTACAACTTCCAGCAATAATCTCAGAGTACTTCCTCGGTCTATATGTTTGTCTTGGCTTTGTGATGTTATAAGCACCTCAAGTACTTGGATATAATAGCATATTTCCTAAAGTTGCTTTAGTAGTAACAGTAAAATTTAAATATCAACTATAAAAGTAGGATTAAAACTTGCTGGTTTAATAAGGAATTGCTAAATACATTTTGGTCGATTTACCTTTTATCTTTTGACTAGTTCCTTTAACTTTTTATTTGAACTACCATTTCTTCGATTAACTTTAAAAAAACATACTATCGTCTCTTATATAGGCAAACCTACCAATTATCCTTTACCACCTTTGCACATGCCTTTCATGTGCAGGGCCTATATAGTACTAATAGAAAAAGTGATGCAACATCTTTTATTTTTCCCTAAAAACAGGTAAAATGACCCTCATGTCTTTTTTTTTTTTTTTTGGTAATTATGCTTTACTAGTTTTTCCCCTCTGAAACCTGGTAAGTGATACAGCATCTCCAATGGTGGTCTAAGAGATAGTTTATTCTCCTAGAGCTTTCTTCTGTCAATGGAGTTGATCTCACATTATTATTAAATATTAATATTCATGAACCATGATATTGTTGAAATAAGAGGATGTCTCAAGTCCTATACCTCCTTGTCAGTTCAAATGAGCATTTTGCTGCAATTTGCAGTTCTATTGAGTTCAATCTCAATGACCAAGATACCCCACTAAAATCATTGCCTTTACATTTTATGAGCTACTTACAAAATGAAGAAAATTTCACTATGTAATTTCTGTTTCAAAAACAAGAAGATCATGCAATTTAATAAATGAAGCTCTGCCCCTTTGTCTTTACCTTGATATAAACAATCCTTAACCTTTATATCTAGAAAAGAGAAATACATGTACATTTTTTAAATTTTCATGAAATCATGAAATCAAGTTTAAAGAAAAGGTATCTTTTCCTACTAAGGCTCATTATAGCATAGTAGGAACCTCATCTACTTACCCATCAAGGTCCCACAACTTTTATCTAATTGGAAGAATAAAAGACATATCTGAGTGGTGGAATAATTCATGTTAGTTCAAGCTGTTCCACCAAATTGTCCCCAATTGAACTATCTGACTTATTCAAATTTGTAATCGAACCAACTTTTCCCCATGTACTTAACAATGGCCCAGACTCCAGAAGAGAATCAATTTATTAGGTTCAAGTAATTCCATTTAATATTTTGAATGTACATAATGATGTTTGAATAATTTGGCTTTACAAAATCTTGACAATTTCTATTTATGACCAATAATAGCTAATATGTTGGGATGTCTGATATTCTATAGGGTTTACATTTAGTTGCAGCTACACTACCAATTTTATAACTTGTGGCCCTAGAAGTTGGGTAGTTAAGTGATTCACTATTCTCTATGAGAGCAGAACTTCCTCTGCTTCAAGAGCTTCAATTAACATGCTTGTTGAGTTGGGACATGTTGGTTTTAAAAGTAGACTGCCAAGTGTTTTGGACATACCTCAAAGTGGGGTTCTTCTTTGTATTATTCATTTGTCTCATTAACATACCCCTTGATTATTGTTTTGTTTTGATCCCAAAACAAAAAACTTTTGTTGTCTTTGTTGGACAGTGTATCACAACTTTTTTGTTGTCTTTGTTGGACAGTGTATCACAACTTTCAGTCTTGAGTTGAGAAAATGATGAGATGGATCTCTTAATTAAAAGATGTATTGGAATAAAAACTTTTTATTATCAGTTTGGACATGCTGGTTTCTTATTCTTGGATTTTTCTTTATGTTCTCTTCTCTTTTTCATTGGGGGTAGGGGACCTATACAAGGTGATAGGGATCATCTTAGGCCTTTGAAGACTTATTCTAGATAGAAGAAAGCCAATCAGTAACTGCTGATTTAGCAGGATAGTTATTCTTGGGGATTGTAATGATTTTAGTCACAGGGGTATTTTAGTTATTTTGACAATTGCAATGTAAGGTCCAGCTTATTAGTTTGAAGCATGAGTGGAAGAGTTATAATTTTGAGTTTTCTTAGCTTAGGAAGGAGTTTGGTTGACCTTGGACAGTCTATTTAATGTGTAAAGTTACAAAAACTAATGAATTTTGTAGAGAAGATGGGCCGAATGGCCCATAGGCTATTTATAGTTTTTATCTTTTATGTTCTTTGCTGTAATGGGCCTTAATCTGGGCTTTATTCTTTCTTATGTTATGTCTTTTTAATTTTCTGCCCAACTAGGGGCTTTTCTGTAAATTACTAAAGTTTAACTTAATGAAATAAAATTAAGGGAGTAAGAGAAGGGATTATGTTAGAAAATCTCTCTCTCTGAACCCAAGTTGCTGCCACCTTCTTCTTCTTCTTCTTCTTCTCTTCTCTTGAACTCTGATTTCTGCTACTTTCTTTGAATTTTTGCAACTTTCTAAACAGTCATTTCTTCTCAAAAGGCCGTTTTTCTTCTTGGTATCAGAGCAGGCTCGTTTTTCCCTTTTTTCACCTTTTTTTCCCATACACAGTGTGTATGGAGAACTGAATCGTATGAATAGTTAAAGAAACCTATTTCAGCCCAGTTGTTAGTGGTTTATGGAGTGAAGGGGACTGGTTATGTCGTCCTCTTGACAGATTTAAGTGTGTTGCCCAAAACCCTAATTTTTTGGAGAAATCTGATTGCGGGCGCCACAGGGAGTTTGACCTGGGCGCTCAGTGACTGAAGGCCTTCTCATTCTTCTTCTTGAAGATCGAATCAAGTGGATTGGTGTTCTGTGAAGTCTACAAGGAGCGGCTGAGTTTTCTCTGTTTCTCCCAGCTTCCAGGTGTGACACAGGTTATTGGCTGCATAGAGGTTGGCTCACAACACAGTTTTTGTTCTGTCTTCATTTGTTGTTATTCGTGTTGTTTGAAGTCGTTTTTTGAAGTATTTAAGAAGATGAACTCCTCAGACTTTGAAAACAAGCATGTTGCTGAATCCGGACAAGTTCCGGGAACCTCTGTAGACTCTCTACTGGCTATGACCACAATCAAGATGGATGGAACTAATTATCTGGCTTGGTCACAATCAGTAAAAATTCATATTTGTGAACTCAATGCAACCACAGATTAGTCAACACTATTTGTGGATGAATTCAGCAAAGGAAATTTGGGATAGTGTTGCTGAAACATATTCCCAAAAATTAAATGTGGCCAGGGTTTACAAGTTGAGAAGTGATGTGAAGAATTTGAGACAGGGGGAGAAACCATTAGCTGTATACTTCTCAACACTGAAGTTTTTATGGCAAGAAATAGATTTGATAGAAGCTGTAGCCTAGGACACCACTAAGGATGCTGAGACCTACAAAAAACTGGTTGAGAGAAACAGTGTGTTTGAGTTCTTGACAGGGCTAAATCCAAAGTACGACATTACAAAGCAAACTATTTTATTCAAGGATAGTGTCTCACTATCTCAAGTATATGCCTTGCTAAGTAGTGAAGAAAGCAGAAGACTTGTTCGGGTCCAAGGGGTTGGTCTAAATGATCACTTTGCTAATATGGGAGTGAAACCCAAGGGGGTTGCAGGGACTCCAAGTAGCTCAGGTAAGAAAGAGATTATCTATGAGTATTGTAAAAAGCCAAAACACACTAAAGACAAGTGCTGGAAATTGCATCCTGAGCTCTTATCACTTCAATTTCAGAAGAAGTCTGATAATATAAAGGCAGGGAGTGCCAATGTTGCTGTTGGTCCAGATAGTGATAGATACCAAACTGAAGAGATGACGGCTAGTAAGCAGTTAGCAGCTATGAAGGCAGAATATGAGAAGTTTGGGAGGATGGTCAGTCACCTAGAGGGTGTGACCTCTTTTTCCAACCCTCCAGGAAATTCAACCTCTTATGCATTTGCTCATTCAGGTATACGGGTTTTTGCCAATCATGCAACCATTTCAGGTAATCGTAGGATCCCTTGGGTTATTGATTTTGGTGCTTCTGATCATATGACCAGCCTTTCTACTTTGTTTGTTTCATATGATTTACTTCCTGGACGTGACAAAATCACCCTAGCCGATGGCTCTCTTGCCCCTATTTCTGGCAAAGGAACCATCAAGGGTACAAACTCCTTGGTTCTTCCTTCTGCTCTTCATGTACCTAGTCTAAATACAAACTTGTTATCTGTAAGTAGCCTAACCAAGTCATTAAACTGTTGTGTAACCTTCTTCCCTTCCTATT